AACAAGATACAGAACTTAAAGTTCTTCATAATTTTAACAAGGCTCGTGCCTTGTTTTTGTTTACATATAGAAATATATTTATAGCAAAATGAAATTCATCAAATCAATAGTAACTGTCGAATCGTACTATTTAAAATTAACTTTTATTTGAAAATTATCTACTTTGAAGAAACATACATTAGTAGGTTAAACAAAAACATGACACCTACTATGTTTACATAACAAAAGTTTGGAGCTCTAAATCTGTCTTGTATCTGGACAACTGACGTTCAGATTTTTGATGATCATTACAAAGACCCTTGTAAAATATTTGTAAAAATGGAAAAAATAAATTTTGATATTTAAGCTGAAACTGTCCATGTCCCTTTAAGTTGTGATGTTGATATACACGAAAAATACGGATATATGGATTGTTCTGTACATTTTTGGATCGATTTATGTCTGGGATAACTACATTTTGGAAGTCCAGGTAAGACATATAAATGAAATAGCTGTTTACTGACAATTTCAGCCAAAATCCATGCGGGAGTGAATCGCCCTCGCTTTGCACCATTACGGAGATCCTAGAGAGTTGTAGCCCTCACCTCCCCCCCCCCCCCCCCCCCCACTAAAAAAAAGGGAGAGGGCTACATTATTGCAGCTACAACTTCATGTACTTCTCTAATCGGGCAACCTGGAGGAATGTAAATAGATTAACATTATAATTATAGAAATTAATACTTTCAACAAGATTAAGTCATTTTAAGCTCTACTGGTCAGAGACCAGAACAGCTTATGCGGCGTCCGTCGTTCTTCCGTCTATCTGTAAACAATTTTTCAAAACGCCACTCCTCCAACAGTTTTGGTCTGATTTCAATATAACTTAGTACACAAGTAGACTAAACTAAGATACATAATTCTATGTATCGATTTTTGATTTCGATGAACGGTGTTGCCATGGTTACTTAAAATACAAATTTCTGTGAAAATCATTCAAAAAAATGCTACTCCTACAGTTTTGGTCTGATTTCAATATAACTTGGCACACAAGTAGACTACACTAAGATACATAATTCTGTATATCGATGTTTTTTTTTATTTCGATGAACAGTGTTGCCTTGGTTACTAAAAATAGAAATTTCTGTGAAATACATTTAAAATGCTATTCCTCCTACAATTTTGGTCTGATTTCAATATAACTTGGCGCACAATTAGACAACACTAAGATACATAATTCTGTATATCGGTTTTTGATTTCGATGAACGGTGTTGCCATGGTTACTAAAAATACAAATTTCTGTGAAATACTTTTAAAATGCTACTCCTCCTACAGTTTTGGTCTGATTTCAATATAATTTGGCACACAAGTAGACAACACTAAGATACATATTTCTATATATATATAGGTTTTTGAATTCGATGAACGGTGTTACCATAGTTACTAAAAATACAAATTTCTGTGAAATACTTTTAAAATGCTACTCCTCCTAGAGTTTTGGACTGATTTCATTATAACTTGGCACACAGGTAGACTACACTAAGGTACATAATTCTCTTTATCGGTTTTTGATTTCGATGAATGGTGTTGCTATGGTTACTAAAAATACAAAATTCTGTGAAATACTTTTAAAATGCTACTCCAAATACAGTTTTAGTCTGATTATTATGCTTCCTGTCAGTTTGTCTCTATATAACCCATACCCTACTATTCTCGCATAGTGTTCTAAGGATTTATATAGCGTAAGCATACTATGCCGAAATAGTGCACGGCTTCCATTTCTGAAGAAAATCCGACAACGCCCATACCAGGGAGCGAACTCACGACCACGAGATTATCAGTCCGACGCGCTACCGATTACGCCACAGACGCCGGTATGGTATTGTACTATGAAGGATATGGAGATAACGAACGTATTCAATCTCAAAGTCCATAAAACAATAAAGAATAAGAGCAGAGCAAACACGGACCTCCGAAACATCAGAGGTGGGATCAGATGCCATGGAGGAGTAAGCATCCCCTGCTGACCGGTCACACCCACCGTGTGCTCTTTGTCATGATCAGGAAATAACGGAGAAATCCGTCGTCAATTCAGTGTATAAATAATGGACTAACAATTACTATGAAAAACGTCAGTCAGCATTTGACTCAATGATAAATTGTGTTTGCTGACAAGGTCATTGTATCGACCACAGAACTTACGAAATGATTACTTTAAACGGGACGGCTGATATTCTTGTTTCATCAACTTGCATGTCAGTTATTTACCTCGTTTTAGAAATTGTTCATACGTTGAGCAAGCTCTTGTGTATCGAGTCAACTGAGATATATATACACTCCGTATGCAGGTGACGAAGGTATATTGACGCATAAGTAAGGGAAGGTGACGATAGAAAAGTTAAAGTCATCACGTTTATCATATAGCTTGGTTGTTAGATTACCATTAATGTCTTTTTCAAGTAAAATATCCAAGTATGAAGCAGATGTGTGAGACTCTGTGGTATCTTTCATCTCAAACTCACCAGGATATATAGTATCGACGTAGGAATGGAAATCACCATTGTTAATTGACAATACGTCGTCGATATATCTAAATGTCGAGTTGAAGGCACTATAATATATATAAACTTAAATTCAAATATTTTACACTTAAGATTAAAAATAAACAAAACTTCTTCTAAAATAGTTTCTTGCAACCCCCCTTCCTTCACTCAAATACTATTCTCTAAAACTATCTGTAGATTATACCTAAAGTATGGAACATTCAAAATTAAAGAAAAAGATTATGACGTACATGTTGCACAAGGTGACGTCATAAAAGAATAGACGACAAGTTATGAAACATTGAGAATGGAGAAAATATTGCCGTTTTTATACAGTAGGAACAGTCAGCATCATAATGACAGTAGTGTTGTGTTTTGCGTGCAATATGCCTAAATAATAGTCAGCCTCCGGCTCGTGCACCATGTGTCAAACCCTGAATACTATTTAGGCATAGTGCACGCAAAACACAACACTATTATATAATTATATTATATAACTTTGTGAAATCCGGTAATCTGATTGGTCAATACGAAGTACTTATTCTTTAATAACGACCGCTGAAAGCGAATAATGACTCGCACGAGCTGCCTCGTTTTCACTTTCGCTTTAGACAAACATGGAAGTTCGCGAGTTGAAGGTGAGGAAAATTTAAAAATTATAGTGAAGAACTCTGAGACTGATAATACAAACCAATTACTAGGATATTTGTGAATATTTTTCGGGAATAATTAGCACATACCATTTCATGGTTGAGTTCGACCTTTCCACTCAGCGAGCAGAGTTTTGACGCTGTTTACGCGATTACGGAGACTAAAGAAAATATAGATAAGCATACCATGTTAGATTGTATCTATTCTTAGAAGGCATAGGACTAGCATTTATATTTTTTCTGTGCATTTCGTCTGCAAGTGTAAACGAGAGCGATTTTCAATCTGGGGGAGGGGGAACTCTGTGTTATTCGGAAATAGATATCTTGCGTCATTATTATGATATGGGAATCGAAATTTATGCCGAAACAATTTCCTCTGAGTAATATTCAATGAATTCTGAAACATTTACATTCAACTTATTTATGGTTAAAACTATCTCTGTAAATAATAGGATGATATACATTGCACTAATAAATTTGGGAAATTATTATTTATATAATATAATAAATATGGACTTAATGCACGGTCAATATGCATTTATAATGACCCAGGATGACAGATATTGACCGAAGATACATGAAGTATATCGACCTCGGGCTAGCGCCCTCGGTCGATATACTACATGTATCTTCGGTCAATATCTGTCATCCTGGGTTATTATAAATGCATATTGACCTACATTGAGTCCATATTTGTATAATAATATAATAATATAATTAGGCATGCAAGTAGACTACACTGAGATACATAATTATCAGTTTTGTTTTTTAAATTTGATGATTGATGTTGCCATGGTAACTAAAATTGAAAATTCTGTAAAATTTTATTAAAAGCTACTTCTACAGGTGTAGTCATGTTGCAATCTTGCCAAAAAAAGAGACTTAATCAAGGATCATTATTCTATTTATTGCTTTTGTAAAGTTTTAAGTCCCAACTGCTACTTTTCTCTTCCTTTATTATAAGTACAAACCAGCAGAGCTACAGTCTCGACAGAGACTTCTGGTACACTTTTGAAAAATGTTTGAAAATAAAATGCGTTATTTCTATGGGCAGTGAAGCAGTCACAACCTAGATCATGAAAATTGAACAGTTTATTGAGGACTCGAGCGACTCATAAAATTCATGCATCAAATCCTACAGTCAGCGTTTGTGTCGACCACGATAATAAATTAATAGCTTAATAATGCTATCTTGGCTTTGTATATTGACTTTCATTCAAGTATTGAATTACTGCCATTCAAAGATAATTTCCAATGTCAATGTGTGGAAACTGCACATAATCTAGCGACATTTCGACCAAAAAAATGTATAGTTATCTCTTCACAGAAACATTATCTATCATAATCTTATTATACCCCTGCTTGAAAAATGGGAGGGTATATCTGGCTAGGAGGTTATAAACCTTGACTCGGGCTCCAGCTCCAACTCTGGCTCCAATTTAAAATTGTACTCCTAGGAGTACGAGATCAAAATCTTAGGTTATAAAAATTTTCGAGTACGTACTCCTAAGAGTACGGACTCGAAATTTTGGAGTACGAACTCGGACTTTTTTCAATTACAGAAGCGGTCTTTTTGGAACTCTTCAGTAATGGCGGCGCCCATGTAATGTGTACTGATGATTTGTGGCAGTATTCCAATGGGTATAGAGGTGAGTTTATTTGTTTATTTTCCATTAAAACGTTTTAAGCTATATTTTTCTCAAAAATTCTTATGAAATAACATATGATTCCTGTAAAACGTAAAGGGTTATATTGGTTACTTTGTATCCGACGACAAAGTACAATATCGTCTGCATATACACAGCAGACTATACAAATATAACATTAAACATGGCAGAAAAAGACATAGAAAAACTCCTTACCTCAAAAGAGGTTGTTGAAAAAAAAGTGAGAACGAAGTGGTCTCCAGACGAGGAGACGAGACTGATTTCGGCCGTCCTTGATCGCGAGGATGCCCTATTCGGCGATTTTAAGGGCACCGGGGCGAAATCTGGTCAGGCGAAGCGGAGGCAGGGCTGGGAGGAAGTCGCAGATGTGTTGAATGCGTAAGGAATTTCTTCCTACCTGTGAAAACTTTTATTTATTTAATATGATATATTTATTATTTAAGAAAGTCAAAGTGGAAATGATCTGCTTTCTAAATAGGCCTAAATATTGTGTTACAGGGTGTGGACAAATTAAGATTGATTGTTTATCATTGTATTTGAAAAAAATACTTGCAGAAATCTTCAGAGCACAATGTGTTTGAAATGTACTTTTCATGTGTTACACCTTATCTTGTGCATAAAATGATGTAAACTAATTGGGTTTTTTTAAGCCATAGCTCATATTTATGATTAATTGAGGCCAATAAAAATGATTTTATAAACAATAAGGAAACAGAAAAGAGGAAAAACAAAATCATAAATTTAATGTTTAAATCTTGTTTTTGTAGACAATTCACTAACAGCAAGAGAACACCAGAGGAGTGCAGAAAAAAGTATAACAATGCGAAACAAAGGAGTAAGTGAATTTAATTTCTGCAAACACTTATGTGTTCTAAACACCTAAATGTAAGCTAGATCTAAATTAGTTTTCTAGTTTAGTTTGTATTCTCAGTAAGTCCACTCTCAGTAAGAATTTTAGTTATTAAAAAGAAAGAGAGAATGTTGTATTATCACCATGATCACTGGCTTCAGTTTAAGTTCTCACCTGCAACCTTTCTTAAATCAAGAATTTGTTAACCATTCAATCCAACAGTATAATCTTAAATAAAATTCAAAAAGACGTTGCTTTTTGTTTTATAATCAGTGGCAGATTTAAGGGGGGCGCACCCGGCGCGCGCCCCCCCTAAAATTGTCAAAGTTAACGTAAATCACAGTTTCGTCTAGAAAATGTAAATATGTCTACTTGGTAGACCTCATTTTTACCCTACAAAATCTCTAGAATCCAGGAGCTTCCGGGGGCTGTGCCCCCTGGGCCCCCGCCCTGGATCCACTGGGGGCCTCAAGGCGGCCCCCAGACCCCTTGCCTACTTTTGGCGCCCCCTCTAACTTCAATACCTGGATCCGCGCCTGATAATCTCTTTATGTTGATGATAGGATTTTCTGTAAACTACACAATTTTAATTGACTGCTTCATACACAGTAGATATGAGACATTTTAAAAAACATTAATAACCAATTTACAATGTATTTACTGACTCAGCATTTAGATATCAAACAAGTTTTAAGTCAACAATAAACAATAAACCTAGGGTTATAGGGGTTCAAAACTGATGAAAATTTTAATTTGAATGTAAATAACAAATATCTTGCTCATGTACACTCAACCTTGTATTTATAATTATAGCTCAGACATGCCATATATTATTACTAAAGCATGTTTTTACTTTCAACAGTCCTACATAATGAATTGTTGTATTGCTTTTCACTTTCATTTGCAGGACTTACAAAAGGTGTCATGAGAAATGGGCGGCACTGGTAACCCGAATCACCAAGTAGAAGGCCATCATGGTCACCTGACAAAAACAAATCATTTCGAATTTGTTTCTTGCATGTATGCACCATTGCAGACAGTTAACTACCATGAATGTAGGTAAATTGTAAAAGTCATGTTTCCTTTATACCTTGTTCAAATTGCTGACATAATGCAGACATTTTAAATATCCTGTTGTCGTGAGTAGCCCCTGGCCAGTTACAGCTGCTGCTTGTGATTTTAAAAGAGGGATCACAGACCATCTATAAGAAAATGAGGGAGTGGGGCGTGTAAAAATGATACTTCCTAAGAAGTCTTCTTGTTTTTTTATTTGATCAAAGTTTATGATATCAGTAAACATAAGAAATATTTCGTGGTTTATTGGTGATGTCAAAAGAATTTAAGAATTCTCAGGTACCTGGACATTTAGAGAATGGTACTGCTTTCTGTTGACAAAATCTGCCTCCTGGGGCCCAGATTGTTTGGTTATTCTTATGTGCGTTCCATCTATGCAGCCCAAAACTCTTGGAAATCCTGTTAATTGGGGAATTAAGAAAATTTGGCTTGAAAACATTGCACTACATGTATACTTAGTAAAATGAGAAGTGGTCTTTTTAGGGGTATTATTGTACTGTATACAATTTATAACAATGACAATTTTATTAGAAGCTTACAATGTATCTTAATGTTGATCCACTGATTCCCCACACTCCACCCACCTAACACACAAACAATCTCCTGTGATTTCTATACTTTTTTCAGAGTTAAAGTAGCATTAGAACAAGACTTAGAGGAAGGATATGGAGATAATGAACAGTATTAAATATCAAAGTCCATAAAACAATACAAAATAGGAGCAGAGCAAACACGGACCTCCAAAACATCAATGGTGGGATCAGGTGCCATGGAGGAGTGAGTATCCCCTGCTGACCAGTCACACCCCCTGTGTGCTCCTTGTCATGATCAGGAAATAACGTAAAAAATCCGTCATCAATTCAGTGTATAAATAATGGACTAACAATTAGTAATAATTTAATTTTGTTTATATTCTCGCCTCTCATTGGTTGATTTCCAAAAAGGAACGCAAAACATTTTGTATAATCTGGTTTGGTATGGGGACACACCCCCTTGACGACCAGCTTAATCACTTATCCATGCAATCCCCTCATTTCCACTCCTCGGAATCCATGGAAATTTCAAGATTTAATAACTGTATCTTTAACTTCAAACACTTACTCGATCTTACCTCATGTAAACACACATCATGGCTGCTAGATCTATGTATCAGTTATTACCTCCCCTCGCTTCACTTCACTTCCGTTACTAAGGTTGTATTATTGCGCGGTAAATTTAAACTCGTAAAAAGCAACACAATTTTACATCAAAAGTTGTTTGATTATTTTAGAATTAAATTATAAGGAATGACTCTAATTCTTGACCAAATTATCGAGTATAATCTGGTTTGGGTCAGTTTACGCTTTTTTATAATCCGCTTTGCGGATTATAAAGCGTAAACTGACCCAAACCAGCTTTTTTATAATCCGCTTCGCGGATTATAAAGCGTAAACTGACCCAAACCAGATTATACTCGATAATTTGGTCAAGAATTAGAGTCATACCTTAATGAAAAACGTCAGTCAGCATTTGTCTCAATGATAAATTGTATTTGCTGACAAGGTTTTGTATCGACCATAGAATTTATGAAATGATGACTTTAAACGAGACTGTTGATATTCTTGTTTCATCAACTTAATAATTTACCTTGTTTGAGAAATTGTTCATACGTATCGAATCAACTGAGATATATATACTCCGTATGCAGGTGATGAAGGTATATTGCTGCATAAGTAAGGGAAGTTGACGATAGAAAAGTTAAGGTCATCACATTTATCATATAGGTTGGTTGTTAGATTACCATTGATGTCTTTTTCAAGTAAAATATCCCAGTATGAAACAGATGTGTCAGAGTCTGTGGTATCTTTTATCTCAAGTTCACCAGGATATATCGTATCGACGTAGGAATGGAAATTACCATTGTTAATTGACAATACATCATCGATCTATCTAAATATCGAGTTGATGGCCACAGCAAGTGTTTTCTTCTTTTCACCATCTTCACGCGTTAGATTTTGCACAAATTCTGCTTCATATGAATATAAAAATAGGTCTGCTAATAACGGAGCGCAATTGGTACCCATGGGAATTCCAATAGATTGTTGGAATACCTAGTCTAACTTAGAGTTATTTCCCTTTAGATGTACCAACCTCTAGCACATACAGATAATAATAATAAACGTCCAACTTGACTTGAATCAAGCTTTTTTCATTGTAATTCTGCTAAGTCTTTAAAAAATGTAAGCAATGATTAAAGGTTTGCAAATGTTTCTTAACTGTTAAATATTCTTAATCATTGAATCATTTATTAGAACAGGGAATTGTTTTGTTTTCAAAATGAAATGAATTAGTCATATGACAAATATTAAATTGACATAACACTAATTAAACAAGAAAGCAGCAATAATATGTTTTTTTTTCAGATGGGGCATACCTAGTCCCCCCTATAACCTCTACCACGCTCACAGGTAAATGCTTTGATTTTATGAAAGAGTAAAGAAGTATATGATCAAAAGTTGTCTCCCTTTAGTTGTGTCATATATTATAATCTATTGTTCTATATAGTCAATGTATATTACTCTTTAGAAACCTGAAATGTGGGAAAATTCCACCATGACTTGACGTGCCCGGTCTCCTCTAGGAAATGAAATAAACTGTGGTGCCAATTCCGCAATGAGTGAAGATACACGCCTAATGCACCTCCCAGCTGTTGACCTCGATATCTTGATATCATCACCAACTAGGATATGAGTGGCACCCGTTCCGAGAAATCTAAGGGTCACTAGCACCTGAAGAAGGGGTGGCACAGGAATGTTCCTCTGCGTTGGTGATGATAAGTCAGGCAGTCGTCGTAGGACATCCATTATAGTGTCTGGGTGAAAACGATATCTTGCGAAAACTTCATCTGCAGTCAATTCCTCCAGTGGATTTGATCTGTCGCGAAAATTACGCAGAATACGTTGCCTTTGAACTATTTGCCTGTGTGCAGCCATTCTTGATAGAAGCAGACAACACTTGGAGCCAAAATTGAAATCTCGAGTAAGCTATTATGCTTACTCGAGATTTAAGCAACACATACTCCATTTGGAGTATGTGTTCTGTACTCGAAAGTTTTATAACCTATATTTCGAGTATGTGCTCCGGCTCCAAATTTCGAGACAGCTTTCGAGCTAGATTTGGAGCCGGAGCTGGAGCCAAGTTTTATAACCATGAAATATTTCGAGCCATACTCGAAATGTTTAAATTGGAGCCAGAGTTGGAGCTGGAGCCCGAGTCAAGGTTTATAACCTCCTAGCCTGATCGGAATGTCTGTAAGTCTGTCTGTTACGCTTTGGGGTGCCCATCTCTTATCCGCAAATCCTCTTATACTACTGAATGAAATTTAATATTTCCACAGATTCTATATTACCGATAATGCAATTGTGCATGTCCCATTTTACTTTTTAATCTGATACAAATTTAGGGTTTCCCATTGTTAAACATGGATGCTGTCATTCTTTCCATAATATTGAAGGGTACCCATCTCATATCATTGAATAAAATTAATGATACACTCACTGATTTTTGATTACATAATGCCATTGTTCACCTTCTATTCTACGTTTTGATCTTAAACTGAGTTCGGGTCTCCCAGAGCAAAAACACTGATGAACATTACCATTAGGGAGGTGGGTATCATTAAGTGAGCTCAGTGATGACATAAAAGTAAAATAAGAGGTACACTGTGTTATAAAGAATCTGTGAAAGTATCTTTAAAGATGAGTTGCGGATAAGAGATGGTTACAGTGTACCCATCAAAATTATAGAAAGAATTCAATGACTTGGTCTGGGAAACCCAAAACATGTGTCTGATTAAGGATTTCCATCCCTAATGGGACCTAATTCCCTATCCTTAAATATCTGTCAAGTATATAATACACTGATATTATATTAAAGCATTTTATAGTGGAAAAGGATTGCCCGCGAGAAAGTTTTAAAAATGTCATTAATTAAGCAGTAGTTGATTAAAAAAGATTGCATTGAAGTCTAGGGGGAAAAGCGTTTTTCAAAATAAAACTTCAAATAATTTGAATATCAAAGATGCATTTAAACATTGAAAATAGAATGACAGTTGAAAACAATTTTTTTTACCGGCTGAATATTTTTTAATTGATTTTTTTTTATTAATTAAAGAAGGGGGTTAACTCTTACCAAAACTTAAGGTCATAAATTAGGACACATCCCACTATACTTACTAATAGTAATAAATGGTAAATAAGTCTAAATAAACTGAGTATTCAATGCCTACATATCAGTTATGTATTCAATTTCACTGTATTTGTTCCCATTAGGGATTGAATACCTTAAAAAAAAAACAAGAGGTGGACAATGGCACTATAAAGATTCACCATAACATTATTTAATCAAAAACATGATCGAAACGATATTATAAAAACAAGTTATGTAAGTTGATTAAAAATGAAAGCTGCAAATTATCTTCGTCATTCACCAATCATTTCCAAAACGTCATTACTGAATTATTGAATCAAAACTTGATTTTAATAATATTAATTATAGGTCATTTTAATTCAGAGAATCTATGTCTCGCTTACATTTAGAAGAAAAAGCATGCGCGGATGGGGGGGGGGTGGTCGAAGGGGGAGGAGGGACACTTAAGGCTAAGTGGAGCGATAGAGAGTCATGGCATAAATACAATTAAGCAAAAGCTTAAAAAGATTCTTTAGATATCGCTGGAAATGAAAGTTTAAAATACACAGACAGACAGAATGTATGATAAAACCTTTGGCCTTGGAGATTTCCGTACTTGAGAAAAAAAAATTAAAACTTGAACCTTGGTCATAACTTTTGAATGGTAAGAGCTAGGGTTTTTTCACTCATGTAATCTTTGTGAAAAAACATTTCATTGGATACCAAACACTTTGACCTTGACCTTGGAGTTTGGCCTACTTTTAAAAAGCAAACCTTCACCATAACTTTTGAAGGGTTAGGGCATTCACATTTACATATTTAATCCTTGTGACAAAACATTTCATTTGATATCAAGAACTTTGACCCCCTGACCTTGGATTTTGACCTACTTTTTGAAAACTTTAACCTTGGCCATAACTTTTGAACGTTAAGGGCTAAGGCGTTCATACTTCAAATATCATATGTAATCCCTGTGACAAGACCTCTCATTAAAAAACCAATTACTTTGACCTTGACCCTGGAGTTTGACTTACCTTTCAATAACTTATTCTTGGCCACAACTATTGAACAGGTGGTGCTAGGGCTTTCATATTTCATAATTGTATATCTCGTGAGAAGACCTTACTTGGAACACCAACATATTTAATTTGCATTTTAGAAAAGTGTCATCTCCACTATGTTGCCATACGGGGGCATCAGTATTTTACAAACACATCTTGTTTATCATTTAGTCACATATAACACTACCATTTTTGTCCCTCACTTTCGCGAAAGCGAGGGGACATTAAATCTCATTTTTCTGTCAGTTGGTCAGTCTGTCCGTCACAAAAACTTTAAGAGAAGAGATATGGATTTTAATATTATACATGTGCATTACCTGTGACAAGACCTTTCCAAATGCACAATGATTTTTTATCCCTTGACCTTGAAGTTTGACCTATTTAAAAATAATTCAATTCATTATTACTTTGAATTAACCATAACTTTTGAATGAGAAGGGATAGGGGCTTTCATTTTAGAGATGTGTATTACCTGTGGCAAAACCTTCCTTAATTTACTATG